GGGGGGGGGGGGGGGGGGGGGGGGGGGGGGGGGGGGGGGGGGGGGGGGGGTCCTAAGCAGAGTGCCCCCCGCGCTGCGTTGTGGGGCGTTGGGCAGGGAGCAGGACACGTATTTAGGAAACACGTCAGCTGGCCGTTGATATCCGTAGACGGCTCGTTAGGGCACCAAATATCTCGGCATTTTCGGAGAAACACCTTTTGAGCTTAGGAAGCAAGACCCCGGAGCCTGAGGGACGAGGGGGGCGGGGGGGCGGGGGGGGGGCGACGAAGGGAGAACCAACACACGTGGTTGATGCCCGAACCTATGACGTTCAGTGTGTGTGTTGTGTTTTCGTCCTATTAATTATGCGACAGTCCCCCCATTTTTCGTGGTGAGACGTGTACTACACTTTTCAGCGTATGTAGAGTACGACACTTTTCAGTGTTTTTTTTTCGTACAACTACAACCATCGGGGATCACACAGGAGGGGGTAAACATCAGGGCTTTTTTCTTCATTGTATTTCTTTTCCTGCCCCACCTTCCTCCTGCGGTGCGTGCTAAATTTTATTTTTTTCGCGAGAAGGGTCCAGTCATCCCTTTCCCTCGTCAACGGTGCTAACGTCGAAGGTTGGTACTCACGAGAGCTTGTCAGCTATATTTCGCTTTCACCCGCACATTTCGTAAAAATTTCACCCCATGGGGATTCGAACTCACGACCTCTGCAACGGATTACGAGGATACTATAAATACTAGACCACCGGGGCGACTGGTGTACAGTGTCTGTGTCGGCGGAATCGCGTCAGCGTTGTTTGTCTCTGGGCTGATGGAGAGGGCTTCTCGTTATGCTCGGTGGCCGCCACCTGATTTTGTCGTAGTACAAGAGCCGCGTGCAGCGCCTGGGAGCAAGAACGCCGGTGCATCGCAGAGACGAGGGTAGAAATTTCTCTTGCAATTCTCCGCGCGACGTGGGTACCGCAGAACCTCTTCTGTCTGGGATATTGTTGCGGGCGCAGAGGCGCGCCGGCACGGCCGACCGGATGAACACACACGCCTACAAACCTGGGTTCACCATCGGTATGTACGCATCAGAAGCAGCAGCAGCAGCAACGGTAGAAATACCCGCAGGCATCTATTTCTGCCACAGGAAGAACAACGATGACAGCACTGGCAAGAACACGACATTAGTTAGCTAGGACCTCGTGATTGTTGTTTCTTGAGACGATGGGTGGTTGATTTTCGTCACGGTGCTTAGTTTTTGTTGATTGCGTGCTTTGAACACCTTCCCCAACGTGTTCTGATGTTCTCGCCATGCTTTTTATTTTCTTGGTCAGCTTTGAACTTGCGCCCAGATGTGGACTGACCCGTTCTCGTATCGCGGATTTCATGTTGCGTGTTCCCACGCTTCGGAATATTCCGCCGCAGATCGTCGACCTCTCGGCAGACTTTAGGCTGAAGGACATCGAGACGTACGCTGAGGTGAGAGGTTGGTAGAGACACAGTGGTCGCACAAAGGGAAAATTCCAAGTGATGAAAACACCCGGAGGGTGTCCCCACTCCGGGAGACTACAATACTTGCCTTCGAAGTCTTTTCAAATGCCCCTGTTCCCTTTGTCTGGGATGTTTGTTACCTACGGCACGCGCACATACTCCGATGTGTTGACTTGTTGTTGACCCATGTACAACCCAGTCCTTCTTGTCCTCTCCATTGATTTCTGAATGGGTCCTGCCCCCCTCCCAGTCCTCCTCTGTGCCCCTTACAACGTCGACACGGCAACAACCTAGTTTTGACACGGCAACCAAAGACCTCATGGGGTCGGGTCTTGAATCGTGTTTTTCTATTTTTCGTTTTTGTTCAGTGGTACGGAGGCGAGCACAAGGCCCCCGCCCTGCAGGCCGAGGCTGTGTACGGCCTGACCGAGCTCGCCAGAGACAAGGTGCGAGGCGCGCGGCTCGTGGCCAACCCGGGCTGCTACCCGACCGCGGCGCAGCTGCCGCTCATCGCCCTCCTCAAGGCCGGGCTCATCCTCAAGGACGACATCATCATCGACGCCAAGTCGGGGGCCACCGGGGCCGGCCGCGCTCCGAAGCAGGGCACCCTTTTCTGCGAGGTGGGACGTTGTTGTTGGTGCTGCTGCTGGTGCTGCGGGTGTATGTTCGAATGATGTTTGTTGTTGTTGGTGGTGGTGGTGCTGGTGCTGCTGGTGTTGTTGTCGCTGCTGCTGCTGCTGCTGCTTGTGCTAGTGTTTTGCTCTTGTGCTGTTGTTGTTGCGTCTGGGTGTGGTATTCGTGTGTGTTTTGCTTTTGGGGGTTGTCTTTTTGTCGTTTGGCGTTGTTGTTGATCGCCGCCCTCGCCCTCGTCGTTGTAGGTGGTTGAGGTTGCAAATGTTGGTAATGACTAGGTGGGTGAAAGGATTTCGCTTCATTTTTTACCTCGATTTCTCTCTTTCAGGCAAGCACTCAACCCTGTTTTACGTGGCCTTGTTTCGCTCGATTTTCTTGTGGAAGCGCATGGTACCGTTGGTTAATAGCCTCAAGTGGTCACCTTCTACCATTCTTGACGTTTTTCGATTCCATTTCATAGTTGACATGCACACAATTTCCGGCAGCCTGACTCGCCAACAATCGGTGCCGTCGACGCTCCCGTTGTCCAAAAACGAAACCCTGTATAGATCTCTGACGGAATCAACGCTTACGGAGTGGCCTCCCACCGGCACGCGCCGGAGATCGAGCAGGGGCTGGGAGAGGCCTGCGGCACCAAGGACGTCGTCGTTAACTTCACGCCGCACTTGATGCCCATGTCCAGAGGGATCCTTGAGGTGAGGCGTGTCTTATGTATTTGTTCTCTGTCACGTGTTTCCTCTGCCCGTTGTTGTTGTTCGTGTTGCTTGTGTGCATTTTTATTGCTGATGATGATGTCGACGATGAATATTGATGAAAATGTTGCTGGTGTTTGTTGGCAGGAGATCGATGCCAAGCTAGCGGAAGGCAGCTGTTGTTGTTGTTGTTGTTGTTGTTGATGATGATGATGTTGATGGTGATGACGATGAAGATGATGATGAGATGGTGGTGATGAGGAGGATGTTCTCTCGGTTGCCGTGTGTGGGCGCAGACGATCTATGTCAAGCTGGCGGACGGTAGCACGGTGGAAGAAGCCAAGGCCGCGCTCGAAGAGGCGTACGAGGGGGAGCGATTCGTCACCGTGTTGCCGGGAGCCACGGTGCCGCACACGCGACACGTACGAGGAAGGTGGGCACCATCAACTCAATTGCGGTCTTTGACATTATGTGGGGCCTTCGTCTTGTGTCGAGCGTTGTCCCTCGTAGACCCTTATGCTGCGTTGCCGGGCAAGCGACTCGATTCGTGGCAAGGAGTGAAAACTGCAGACCCTAGGGACAAGATGGTTTGTCAACGCACCGCACAGCGCGTTGGTGAAAAAACACGTGCCAAGAATCATCGCGCTGGCTTGGACCGGTCGTGTAGCATGATGTCAGTCTTTTGACGTGGGATGCTCGTTCATCTATTCCTGCGCGAAAATCTGCACCAGCCCGCACGCTAACCTGAACTTGAGCAATAACTCCTTCGTGACGGCCGCTACCCCCCACCCCCCTGAGACACGCAATAGCTAATGTGCCCCATCTCCTCCGCACCCCTTACGCGGCAACTCCTCCGTGCCATTTGTTTTTTTTCCGTTGCTGTCTGGGATTCATGACGAAACAGCAACCACGTGTTCATGAACATCGTGGCCGACCGCCTGCCGGGGAGGGCCGTGATCCTCGTGTCCATGGACAACCTCGTCAAGGGGGCTAGCGGGCAGGCGATACAGAACATGAATGTCATGTTCGACCTCCCGGAGACACAGGGCGTCGACATGGCACCGATGTTCCCATGATCGGTTTTGGCTTGAAGAATCTTACGTGCGGCACGGCTTGTAGTATCTGCATACGTCAAGGATTGTAGTATCTACGTGCGTCGGACAAACTTGAAAGCCTAGTGGGACCGATTGGCGTAGAGGTATATCCGAACTTTGTACGTCGAACAAAACTAGACACGCTTCATGGCGCCGATTCCCCATGCGTTGTCAACGCGCTTCAAGGCGGGATGGCGCTGGCATTTGGGATGGACGACAGCGGGGTGTATCCAAAGGTGGACTGGGGTGGCCGGCCTTAAGCCGCGGGATCAATATGAAGCGACCCAGGATGCCTAGCATGCTTCGCATGAGGCGCTGCACCATTGGTTGGTTCGATTTTTCGATGGTGCTATGGTCAGTCTCGGACAATTTTTCCACAATGCCGAGCCACGCTTAGGGAATTGTTTCTCTGCATACAGGTGGTTGTTCCGAAAACCAAAAGTACCGGCAAACGCGCTGTCTCCAGGCGCAGGTACCTGTGGAAAGCGATTTTTGTTTCGTTATTGGTCCGTCTTTTATTTTGGAATAACCGAAATATCTTGTTCGTTTTTGCTGGGGTGTGTTTAATTCAGACGACAATTTTAAGTCCGGATTTGGACAGCTCTCGAAATTCTTCAGGGGTAAAACTTTTCCGATTTTGAATTAAGTGAAAATAAAGAAAAGTTATAGGCCAAAAACCGGAATTCAGAGGGCATTTTGTTCGCTTTTTTCCTCCTATATTCAACCACAGAAATTGAAAAAGACCACGGCAATCGATTCCTCTCGACATTCCCCAGGGGTATTTTTTTTCCAAATTTTAATTAAAAATCTGGTTCGCGAGATATTCCGTTTTTTGTCTAAAACCCTGATTTTCTCCCAGTCTTATCCATTTATTTCGGAGGGGTAGCTCAGAATTTACTTAATATTAGTGTTGGGCTGTCAAAAAATAACTTTATGTGTTTCTCGCCTTGTTATGTTGATCACCAAGATGGCTTGTATTTCTCCTGAATCGACTTCTTTCAAAAGATATCGCGAAAAATCAAAATGGACAAATTGTCCCAGACTGACCATAGAGGCCTTGGAGGCTTGGTGTGGCGCTCTCCCCTCTCATGGTCAGCGGAGAAGACAGACGGATTTGCGTGGTTCTTCGTAGGAATCCGATCGACGACGCATCGATGGGCCGTGGGCCCAAACCCTTTCTAATTTACTTTCCAGAGGGAAAAGAAAGGGCATGTCTTTTTTGCTGGCCTCCAAAACGGGTGTATCTGCGTCTGAGTAGTTGCCGTAGGGTACAGAACACTTATCCAAAACAAGCCCTCTTTTGCCATGTTGCCAATATAGGATGGACGCATGGCGTGGTTTAAGGTGGGAAGGGAGCGGTGTGTTTGTTCGGTGGCTTAAAGGTGTGAGACGACTCGTGACACGACCCAGCAAAAATTAAACATACTATTTTCAACACACCATGTGGCCGGGAGGCCCGGTTGGCTGTAGAGAAAAATACTACACTTGGAAGTGCACATTCTTTCCACCCATCATGAAGGTTCAAAATGCGTCCATGAATTTCGCCGCAATGCGGCTTCTAAGCACAAGGGTGCTTTCTCTGCGAGCTGGGCGAACCCGCCACCCCGTTCACCCCCGTCGCCGGTAGCGGTAACCCCAAGGAAGAGGAACTCGTTTGACACCGCTTCTACATCTAGCGGACACCGTTGGAAGAATCTTGCCTGGGACTCATGTACATGCACGCTTGCACTGCGAAGTACCACAGGAATAATGACAAACACGCAAGGAGCAGCAGCAGACTACCCTTCACGCGTGGCCTTTTTCTACATTTTTTTTCGGTTTGGAACGCCGGTCCACCAAAACTTGTTGCGAAACAGCAGGAAAGACTATATCGCCTGTTATCGCCTGTAGCCCCCCCCGTCTGTCCGGAACGTGCGCCACTCTTAAAGGGGGTAGCTTTAATAATCCATTACGATAACCACCCTCATTATTATGTACAAAAAGGAAACCAAGGCGCACAGCAAGCAATGGCTTCCCCCGTGGCCTTTTGCCGCAACACCAAGTGACACACGCATACGTCGCGGATACACCCGCCACAACCGGTGGGAGGGCTCGATAAAATCGGATTCTGATCAACACGTCGCAGCGCCCAGGTGCTGGTTTGCACGTCGCCTCTTCCGGTTGGCCTCTGTCTCTACTCACCCCCAAGGGAGCAACGCCTATCGCGATCTCTCGGTCGGCCGGCAAAACGAGCTATAAATAAATTAAGGTCGGCCCGAGCTGGTGCCAACCAGTGCGTGTTTGTCAATGCGACATGGAAGCCCAACGGCGGGCACATGCGGCGGTGATGCCTGCTACTGTCGCGTTTCAGTCGATTCCGTGCAGAAAGGACGCCAAGGAATGACAAAAAAAACGTAGGCCGTCGTGGTGCGAACAACACGTTCCATCGACCCCTCGGCGTCCCCTTGGTAGCAGCGGAGGTGGCCGTGTACAGCGCCCTGTAAAAGATGCGTTTGTGTCGCGCTCTTTTTACAAGATTGCGGAACTCAAGCCCAACCACGAGGCGCGACAACCCGCCCCAACCTAAATGCCGCCTCTCACCCAGTAAACACCCGTTGGGTGCTACCCACTACATTACTTCCCCGTGCAGAACATGCACGAACAGCCCACCCAGCCCGTCGGGAGTTCGTGCCACACTTTTCCTGCCTCGCCGGGAGACTCCAACGCCAGAACACTCGTCCGCGCGAAAGAGTTCCGGGTTGGAGTACGCACGCCTTCGGCGGGATTTCCAAAACTTTTCCGCCATCTCTTGAAGTACCGCCTTTTGCTAGTGGATAGACAAAATTCCCTGCTTCATGTCTTCCATCCCTTCTTGCGCTGGTGCTCCATGTAGCGCACGTCTGTTTCGTGATTCCGTCACAAAGGGCAAGTGAATGTGACACGTTGCAAACATACAGGGCGGTCGGGGCCGTTGGGAGGATGCAGGGGATAAGGGCTTGAGACTCAGAAATATGGTGCCCGAAAAAAATGTTTTTTCTCCCCCTTCAGGTACCCAGGTCAGAAGAACGGAGGTGTGCGCAAGGGCGGGTGAGCTACGGGCTGACATGAACAAAAACGCAAACAGGAGCGCACGCGGCGACATAACTGCGCCCCTTGATGAAACTGCGTTTTGACATAACTGCATGGCTGTTCGCCATAAGCCCACACGCACCGATGTACAGGACCTGCTTTCCCCCGTGGTCATGGCGGCCTGAGACTGAGCGCTGTTCTACAACGGCGGGGAAAAAACTCAATAGCCGCCTGTCTGCCAACTCCAATTCGATACTTTCTTTTGCTCCGACTCGTACCGTAGTTGCGGACCCCGCTCTCTCACTGAAAAATCCTGCCTGAATCACTACCACCTCTCGTGTTGAGACGGGGGCGTGCTCTCATGTTTTTCGTGCCTTAGCGGTTAGACCATTGGAGGGGAAGAGCCTTTGGCACTCACAGTCTCCCCAGATTTCGTTGTGGTTGACCTCGCCCGCGGCCGCCTTCTCAACGTCGAAACCCCGCGAGGGGTTCGCGGTCTTGGCCTTGGCGGGGTCTACCTTCACCGGGATCGGGCCCGAAGGTGGGGTTCGGTCCCCGTAGCGCTTCAGCAGCGCGGCCCTCTTCGCCGCCGCCTCGTCCAGTGCTTCTTCACCCCCCTCCCCGCCCTTGCCCTCTCCCGTGGCCCCTTCTACTGGAGGGGCGGTGGCGAGGCCGCTTCGTATTGCCGTCGTTGCCGCTGTTGTCCTGCAGCTGCTGCGGGTCCGCGAATGAATGTGAGCGAGAGCGGGGTAGCGCACGAACGATACCGGAAAACATGATGTGCACGAGGAGGTTGTGTTGCGTAAGCGTGGAGTCATGTTCAGATTGAAGGACCTTCTCGCGGTAAACTTGGAGGCGCATGCACCGCCGAGGAACTCCCTTCGTTCTTCTGTTGTGGCCCGGTGGAAGGTACTGCAGGTCGTCGAAAGCGGCACGGCAGATACGCTACTTTGAGATTGAGGGAAGGACCAACTTAGTAATTTTCGTTAAATGGTCCATGTCGTGTTTGGTAAGGTCCGGGGATGGCAATATAAAATACACCGAACCGCACCGAGATTTGGGTATGGTATGGAAGCTTGTACCGAGGATTACACAAGAATTTCGGTAGGGTGTGAATCCTGTACCGAACCATACCGCTCGTTAGGGTATTATACTGCCTGTAAATTCAGTAGGTATGCCTCGGTGCATATCCTCAAACACACCATTTTTGTAGACGGCTGCTCGGTAGGGTACGGAAACTTACCGAAGCGTACCTGTTTTTGGCAAGGTGTGGAGGTCTATGCAGATCGTACCGATATTTTCGGTAGAGGTATGGAAGCCTGTACAGATTCGCACCGAGGAGCTCGGTGGGGTACCACCAACGGTATTTCCCGAGGTACGCGCAGCTAAGTACTTGGCCGAAAAAAACTTTCTCTGAATATTTCTTAATATGATGACCCCAACGAATTAATCTCTATCTGAGAAAACAGTCTAAGATAGAGTAGCAATGAATTCATAGCGTCAGAGAAAGCTACCTGTATTTCCACTGTTTCCCGAGCAGCACCATAGATGGCGATATCTCCCCTGTGAACCTTTTTAGATGTAACCCTGTCCCAAACCCGAACCCCAACCCGAACGACACAGCGACCTAATGAGGGTATAGACTATATCTGCACCAGGTGGTCTTCATATTGCCTGTGCAACGCAAGCTTGCGTGCAACATCGTCACAACGTTACGTGTGGTATGGAAAAAGAAATCGGTGTTGCACTCATACAATTGAAAATACCTGCTGTTGAAGGCTAAAGGGTATCCGATACTGCAGAAGTTATTACCGAATAGAGAGGGGGCGGCGTGCGCTACTGCTTTACCCACGGACGGAGAGGTTCACAAGCAGATGACACACACGCTGTAGGCAATACCTTTTTCCTGACGACCCATGACTTCGGTCAAAGGGTCCGCTCGGCATTCAATCACTTCGCGTCTCAGCAGCTGCTGTCGCTCTCTCCTTACCTCTTGGTTTGGTGCTACTCAATAAGAGCGATGGAAAGGACCGATTGCTGCAGACGTCACACACCTACTACCGAGGTTGAGCAGTTTCAGCCGACGCAGGCAATATATTACCGCTGCAGTTCTCACCTTATCCGCTGAGCAGCAACACTCTGGGACAACGCCGTTCTCCATAATAATCGGATGACTCCTGCTTCCCTCACCATGGCGTTCCTTTCCACCCTGCTCTCTCCTCTCTGCTGCTGCGGGTGCAAAAATATGTGTGAAAATGCGTCGTCTACGAAAGTGAAAGAGCTCAGTGGGGCTCCGCGGTAAGGTCTCCCAATCTCGCCGCATTGCTGTGTCGAATATGTGCATAGTCCCTGCCCAACACAACACTGGCACAGCAGTACCATGGCATTGTAGCATTTGATACCACCTTCCAATCACCTCGTACAGGCAGTGTGCGCACAATAAACTGGAAATACCCGCCGACAACAGTAGTGGTGTTGCTTGCTCTTTTTGTGGACGCGTGTCGTCGCACGCCACAGCGGTGAACAACGCCAACAGCAGCAAGCACCACCGCGTGTGAGACGTGGGGCTGGAGAGCATGTCATCTCCACGGAAGCGGCACCGGAAGCCCACCACGCAACAGCCACAACCGGCTCCCAACATTGCCAAGCGGATACACGTCTCTCTGGAAGAGGACAAGCCCATCGGACTGGAGCTGGACTTTAGCGCCGAGGTAAGGATGCATATTTTCTCCGCAGCGCACGTGGAGAACCACTGCTGCGGCCGTGCTCTTTGTCTTCGCAAGAACCAAAAAACGTGTGGTTTGCCCGCAGTTTCCAGTCGGTTTCCCTCCACTCGCTGGAGAGTCGTCAGCACATCGGCTGTTGTTATATCTATCTAACGGGTAGCCTTCTCTGTGTTTTCATGCATGTATATAACTCGGAGTATCTGCTGGAGAAAAAGGAGCCGGCAAACAAACGCACAGTCCCGTTTTCAAGAATACTTTTTTGCCCCGAAAGGTCTGGGAGCATGCATGAGTTCCATTTAACGGGGAGCATTGTAGAACCCTCAAAGGGATATATTGCAGCACAGGGAATCTTTGACACACATATAGCTTGTCCGCTAACGCCATCGCTTCATGCGACATAGTTGTAATCCCGGACCCTTATTGTATGACCGGTTCGCCCCGGTGGTCTAGAGGTATCTTCGTAATCCGCTAGTCGCAGGGGTCGTGAGTTCGAAGCCCCATGGGGTGAAAAATGTACGAAATGTGCGGGGGTGAAAGCGAATTCTAGCTGCTACCAAACTTCGACGTTAGCACCGCTGACGGGAAAGGGACGGCTGGACCCTTCTCGCGATAAAAATAAGAATCCAGCACGCACTGCAGGAAGAAGAAGGGGCATGAAAAGAATTAAAAAGAAGGAAAAAGGCCTGGTGGTGTTTACCACCTCCTGTGTGACCCTGCATGGTTGTAGTTATACGAAAAAATACACTGCAAAGTGTAGTACGTTATATACGTTGAAAAAAGTAGTACACGTCTCACAACGAAAAATGGGGGAACTGCCGCCATAATAAATAGGACGAAAAACGCAACACAAACAACATTGTATCTGTGAGAGAGATGAAAGAATTGTTGTGTGCGTGTAGGGAAAAAAAGAAAAACGATTTCTCCGTACTTCACACCTCTTCCGCATTAAAGGCGCCATACAACATGTTGTACTCCCCAAACCTGAAAAATACAAAACACCCAAAACAAAAACACAAGCAACACCCCACACCGTTCCATACCAAGAGAAAAACTCAATAATTGAAGCCCCATGCTAGTCTAGCCGCTGTCCAAGGAATTGTGCTTGGACTGTTGTTGTGTTCCGAAAAAGCGCACGGACAACGCCTCTAGTCCACACCAGTGGGGCATTCATTCTGTGAAGTTCGACGGTGTGACTTGGCCGAAGGAAATGGTTGCAAACAGCAAAAAAGGCTTAGTTGTTGTTTTCCCCACGTTGGTTGCATCCCGATTTAAACCCTAGACCCTACAACAGCTAAACACTCAACACCCAACCCTAAGACCACCCTGACTGGCGACCACCATTTATACGAAGTGCCCAGGCAAGGGTCGCAAAGGGCGTGGTATTGACCAAATGCAAAGAGACAAGGGCCGAAAAGGACACGTAGCACGGAGCTCCGCTTTTGGAGGCAGCCTCCGAAACACCTATCTCCCATCCTCCGGCCTTGCGCAGCTCTGTGGCCCCCACTGCGTTAGTTACCGCTCGAGCATTCTCTGCCGGTAGGATTACGTCCAGGTGAAAAGCGAAGTGGAGCGAGGTACAGTACACCGGTCGGCCCCAGGAGCAGTTGTCGTAGAGCTGCTGTCGTGGGCGTGATAGCCACCACGAAGTGGGATGTGGGCATGTTTCCATGTGTTGCTGGCTCTACAGCGGTCTTCACCACTTTTCATGCGAGCGTTTTGTCGAATAAATCAGCTGGGGGGTCACACGGAAGGACGACGAAAGAAAACACGAACAGGTGGCATTCGTGTGCTTCGGGGGGGGGGGGG